GGAAGTGGCTTTAGGAGGAATCGAAGATATAAGTAGTGAAAATGGGAAAAATCTTGAGGTGGGTCTTGTGAAAAACTCGAAATTGGAAGTGGGTTTTGGAGGAATCGAAGATATAAGTAGCGAAAATGGGGAAAATGAAGATATAAGTAGTGAAAATGAGAAAAATCATGGGGAATTTTGGTCTGATACTGGTGGAGATGGACTTGGTGATGTGAAATTTGGTGGTGTTGAAGAGAGCTCAGAGGTTTGTGTAGAAGAAAAGGAGGAAAATGAGAGGGTTGAATGTGAAAAGAGGGATGGAATTGAAGCAAGTAAAGGAGGAGAAGAGAAGAGGAGTTTGGTGTGGTGGAAGGTGCCATTGGAGCTTCTCAGGTATTGTGTGTTCAGGGTTAGGCCTATGTGGGCCTTCTCCGTAGCTGCTGCTGTTATGGGGTTTGTGATATTAGGTCGTAGACTGTACAAGATGAAGAAGAAGACCAAGAGTTTGGAGCTCAAAGTTACTGTCGATGATAAGGTCAGTGTTATTTTGCCCATTTCCATACCATTATGTTAGTAACATTGTTTTTTCCACACTATAGGTGCTAACCTTAAGCTTGATTTGTATGTTGCTTCATCCTCTTTATCCCAAAAAGTTGTTAAATAAATGAAAGAATGTTGCTTCATGTGTTATATGCTTTTGAAATACCTAATAGTTAAGCAAAAGGAGGAGTTGATAACAGTACATAGTTATTTGTGTTAAAGGGATGAGCTTTTTCATGGTAGATACTTGAAGAAGAGGGAGATTAGAACTCAAATTGGAAAATAATTGGGCCCTGGGGGTCATGACACTTTAGTATACTCTTTAGCGAGTATAGGGAGATCAGTTTTGTGGCTCGTTGCAAATGTTATTTTAGTTATATGACCCTTTTCACGAGAGAATGATAAAACATAACACATGAGATCAGTAAATAAAACAAGTGAGATCTTTATAGGATTATTTTTCTACTATTCAAATCCTCGTGGGTGTTATGATATTGTATTGTGGATGACCCTATCTATATGCAAGACAGAGTCATAGGAATCAGGAATTAGTTTGTGTCATCATTGATTGGATGTCATATAGTGTATGCATAGATGTGCCATTTCGTTTTCTTTTCATTTGTTGATAGAACAGTTGATTCATCGTGACCATTAAGGCTTCAAACTTAGACATTTATTTGATTTTTTGGGTTTTCACTTGCATCATGTTCAAAATTGTATATTGAATTTTGTTCCAGAGTGCTGTGTATCTTGAAAATATAGGATGTGGGAGTGTTCCAGTATAGAGCAATGGTATAGGACTATAGGCTGATAATGCCTTTAGAATTCTGTTGCCCTGTATCATTTAGCAGTTCGTTTCTTGTACCTCTTGACATTTCAGTAATTATGATTGCTGTTTCTTCTTTAGTGAGTGAAGTGCTTTATCTAGCTTGAAATAGCAAGGCAACTTGTTTATTGTAGCTCGGCCTTGATATCGCTTGTGATTTATGTATGGAGCATGTCATAGTAACATAGCTGGAGAAACCCAAAATCGCTGATTATATTAAAGTTGTTTCAATAAGATAGAGAATAAACAAATGGTTCCTCATGGATGGAGATGCAACTACCAAATTTAATAGTCTGTGCTATAATATACACTCTAACATTCCTGGGAAAGATAAGCCTTGTGTTACAGTTGTATTAGATAATGAAGATTGTTTATCAATACCCCTATAGTAAGAGTTTCGAAAGTCTCAATCATGAATAAGTTGTTTTTTCTTTTCTTTTAGGGGGGTGGGTGGGTAAATCTATACCTTCAGTTTGTTCTCCAACTTCTGCTGCTTCCAGCTTCCTCCACGGTCCTTATTAGCACTTGTGAAATGTAAACAAAGAGGATACAAGGGACCACAGCTTGGAAGCCAGTCTGTAATAGAAGTTGCTAAATAAACAACCGGTATTGTTAAAGCACTTTGTGAGTCTACCTTGGATTAAACGACTGCTGCCTCGTTACTTCTACTAGTGCTCCTTTAACATTATTTTAGTCTTCTGCTGTAAATTGTTTCACATGATGATTTTGCTTTAGATTCCACCAGCAAAGAGAAAAATAAAAGGAGAAAAGAGAAGGAAAAGAAGAGAAAAAATAAACCAGCGACACGTGACATTTTCATTTGGTGTAGATGGTGTCTACTTCGTTGACATCGGCACCGTTACATGCTACCAAATATCTTTTCAGGCCTAACGTCAAGTTTGGGTTCATTTTTATTTAGTTTATGGATTTTGTATACCTTTTGCTCAATTCTGCATCTTTTTGGCCAAGCTTCTAAAATCAGTTTATTTTGAGAAGTGTTTTTTCTCAAAAGTATTTTTGATGAGAAGCAGTTTGTATTTGGCTAATTAATTTGAAAAACAATTCCGAGGAGCAATTAGTGGTTAGTCAAACTTTTGAAAATTGCTTTTAAGTAAAAGTGCTTTTCAAAAAAAGTGCTTCAGGGGAGAAGTTACATTTTTCTGCTTCTACTCAAAAGCTCTTTTTCTTCTTCCAAAAGCTTGGCCAAACACTTTTAACTTTGGGTGAAAAGTGCTTTTGGCCATGGAGAAGCTTGGCCAGGCTATAAATGTTACCAGAAGTACATGCTCTTTGACGTGTAACTCTGGAAACTGAATTTTAAACCCCCCTTCTTAAGTGTCCTATAGAACTATCCAACTTCCAACCTTAAACAGTTGTAAAACTTGATATAACCAAAGAGTGTTCACACTTTGTGTTTCGAACAGATTTTGATGTTTTTGACTTGAAAACGTTTTCAATTTTTTTTTTTTTTTTACTTCTGTTGTGTGAATATTATAGGGTATCATTGGATCAAGTCCTTAAATCCTATCCTTTGCCTTGGACCAGCACTCTTTCTTCTCACTAATGAATCCTTTTCTGTGTGTTGAATAAGTTTCGTCATTGTGTGCAGAAGGTATCTCAATTCATGAGCCGTGCTGCACGCCTTAATGAAGCATTTTCTGTTGTGAAGCGGGTTCCTGTGATTCGGCCGCAGCTGCCAGCACCTGGAGTTTCATCATGGACTGTCGTGAGTTTGCATAGGGTGTAATCATTGTAAAGAAAAATGAAGTTTTATGTATATTGGAAGAAGCATTGGTGTCGTCACCAAATCCCATTTGATATATTGCTGTGTTTTTTGCTTGGCTAATTTGTGTTTAAGCTTTCTCTGTGTGGATCACGTTCTCAATATACTCCTGAACAGACTGATGTACGATTTTAAACCTATGTATGTATGTATGTATGTATAAACTCTCTTATCTTTTTCCCATATGTCGTGTTGTTGGATGTCTCTTTAATAGTTTTTCTTTTTCCCTACCAATTAGTAATTAAGGGGAAGCGGGTTCTTGTTTGACATTCCTGCAACAGAGTTCCGCAAAATACTTTTTCTGGTCTTTGGACAAAGTTCTACAACAATAATAAAATCAGTATATTCCGACAAGTGGGGAATTTCGAGGAAGTTCTACGGTAAAGTGATAAACAAAGTACACATTTATTATCACAAGAAAAAATAAACAAACCTGTACATGTAAGGCATGAAGCTGTCGTATCTATATTTTTATGGTCTTTTCCAAGTTTATAAAATAACAACTTGATAGCCTATAATGTATTGCTCTGACGATTTAGCTAGTGTTATATTTATATTAGGTTAGGTATTTGTCAACAATTTTGCTTCTATATGTTAGTGTTAGAATAGGAAAATCTTAGTAGCTCAGTTGGTATGTTACTTTACCAAGGGTTCGATTCTCCGCCTTAAATTACCTTGTAAAGTAAACATTTTTTTTCTTGATAAGAAATGTAGCTCTTTTATTTATTTAAAACATGAAATATGTAAAATTTATGTTTCACAGATGGAACTGAACGAGGGAACTCAGTTTCGATTGCATCAAAATTCAAAATTCCTAATGGAAACATGTAAAATTAGCTGTAGCTAAAGTCTATTGATTCTAGATGAATGAGCTCCTATGCCAAACCCTCTAGTTAAATTCTTGAAGAAACAACAAAATTCACATGATTGTTTTTGACAAATTAAGGAATTCAAGACATGGTTTTGGGAGATGTGGGTGCTAGGATTTCTATTCTAATTTAGATAGTCTTTTGAATATAGTTGAAAATTTAAAGTATTGCGTCATTATTAATGAAGACACCTTTCTAGGTTGCTCTAGCTGTATCACTATGTCCTAACTTCATTAATTATTCTAGTTACTGCGTATCTAGTTTTCTGGTACGTTACTTCCAGTTGGTTAGTATTTGACCTTTTGATATAAGAAAAACACGATTTGATTTCTTAGAAATTCTTTTACATTATTACATAGGACATTGGGAAAGGGCATAATAACAATCGACAGTGAGAGTCATACAACTTTTTTCCATTACGTAAGGGAGAGAAATCTCACATGGTCACCCAAAGCTGAAGTTTAAATTTTTTTTTTTAATTAAAAAAAAAAAAGGATTAATGGGATTTTCTTGTTTTTCTGTTTCATTCTATTATTTTCTTCATAAAGTAGATTAATTCACACATTTTCGATGATCTTTAATAAATACAAAGCACATAACTTTTATTACATCTCTTCCTCTAAATTCGCATAGCAATATATAGGTCGCAAATAAATTTTAAATGCATGCACATAAAAAAACAGAAAAAGTAATTAGAAAACTTTGAATTCCATTGTTACCAATTTTAGCTCAATCAATGAATGGCTAATTTGTAGTACTGGTAACTTTCCTTGCAACACCAAATTTTTAAAAAGCTAGCCGTTAATAGTTTCATTTCTTTTCATTTAAATACACTCTTGAATCTTAATTGAAGTATTAAGCAACTAAGATCTTTGCTTAGATTTTCTTCTTCACAAACCAAAGATTTTCATAATATTTTCTTTTAGACAAACAAATCTTTGTTCCTTGTGGCAGATTTTTTTGTATCTTGTTTTATATAATATAGAAAGATCTTTGAAAGAAAATGACTTCCACTCGTTGTGCAGCTTGCAAACAATTAAGAAGAAGATGTCCTTCAGATTGTATCTTTTTACCATATTTTCCTCCAAATAATCCACAAAGATTTTCTTGTGTTCATAGAATCTATGGTGCTAGCAATGTTGGAAAGATGCTCCAGGTAAGTACCATATCATATATTCCTATAAGAATCGTTGTTTATTCTCTTGCTTGAATTAAATACGTTTTAAGTATATTTGTACAGATAAGATATTATTTTGTATATTCTTATCTCATTCAGTGCTTCATAATCTCTGTGTAAATATGTTTCGGCAGTCATTTATTTAGGTTAGTTAAAATGTTTGGATCTTTTCTTTCTCTTGCTCCTTCAGTGATAAATAACAATAAATTAAGATAACTAAATAGAGAAGTAGCTATTAACTTATTATTATTCGTATTGATTATTATTGACTTATTGATTACTTTCTCCATACTTGTATGAAAATTTCTATTATATAAATTACTGACTTATAATGTTAAATCTATACAGTTTTCATGAATATGTGTACAAGTTATATTTGGAAAATTAATATATGAATTGAGACCCATAACTTAAATCAGGGGCGGCATACGTTGGACGAATCGCTTCGCCGGAAAATTTTATTAAGCATAACAAATAATAAACATAAAATGACACCACTTAATATGTATTCTCGTCTGGCATGTTGGTGAGTCTTTTGGTTTTGCTTTAAGGGGTCGGAGGTTCGAACCTGGACTAGAATATATATTTGGCAAATATTCGAAGATTCTCTTGTTAAAAATTATAATTAAGTAGAATTGAACTCAAGAGCTCTTCTAACTTAAGACTTCACAAAACTAATGCATTAAGACTATTATTATTTAGATATTAAAAATATGATAATTAACGTTATTTATTTTACACTCTTGTATAAATATCGACATCGCGTACGAAAGATCATGCGTGCACCCCTGATTAAAATGGTTTCATCTCACAGTTTAAACCGTATTCTTTTGAGGTGGAAAGAGTAGTATTTCACACAGCAAACCATAGTTAGCGAAGATATATTATTTGCATGTCTACACACTTATCCAGCTTTTGGATTCAGAGAGACATGAACTCAAAGTTCCTTGTTGAACTAATTATATATGGTAAATTATGTCAAAGAATATTATAGAAATTAATTTCTTGTTTTTTTAATAACAGCAAGTACAAGAGCATCAGCGAGCGGATGTAGCAGACACGTTGTATTATGAGGCATATTGCAGAATTAAGGATCCAGTTTACGGTTGTGTTGGGATCATTACTGTTTTACATGAAGAAATCTACCAATTACAATGCCAATTGGCTAAATTAAAAGCTGAAATTGACTTACTCAAAACTCAGTCACCAGCTCAAGGACAACAAGTTGAATTTTCTGCTAATTTATTGGCTGATCAAAATGGAGTTTATACTTCATCACCATCTTTATTTGATCCTTCATTCTATTGGTTTTACTAGAACTTATTATGTAGTGTTCTTTTTTTTTTTTTTCATGACATATTTTGGGCATTTTATGAAGTGTTGAGTTACTTTGGGGATTTTATTAGCTTGATTTGGACTTGTATCCTTAACTTCTATACTCTGATTTCATTCATCCTATCTTACATTTGATCAACACTATAATAAGTTGCTTAAACTCCTAGTAAAATTAGTAGAATTTTGAAGCATAAAGGTTCTCTTGCCAAGTCAATCCACAGATAAAAATGCAAAAATATTCTTGACATGTACGTACTAATCAAAAGAAAAGAGAAAAACATTATTTTCAACACATTGTACTATACAGAAATCAAAAGGGCAAATATATCTATAGATGAATTTACAGAGATTTAAACAAGTTTCTTCAATATTTAATTCTCTCACAAAAGATTAAATTTTTCAAAAACCAACCTGTTAAACGTCTTCAAAAACATACATTTTCTAAGATGGTAACACAGACAAACATATTTTCTTCAAATAATATTCTAAAATAACAACAACAACGACGACGACCCAGTAAAATCCCACTAATGGGATCTGGGGAGGGTAGTACGTAGACCTTATGCCCTACCCCGAGGGAATAGAGAGGCTACTTCCGAAAGACCCTCGGCTCAAGAAGACGAAGAGAGACAATATTAGTTCTACCAATAGAAATTATATGAAAAATAACATCATGAAAATGAGAAAGTAGATGCAAAGCAAAAGCAATAGACAATACATAGATCCGACACTATGGAAAATGAAAGAATAGTAAGACGCAACATTGCCACTAACTGACTTCGACAAAAACCCTACCAGACTAGCCTCACAAAGGTATGAAGGAAAGACTCAATTACCTCCTAACCTACAAGCCTAATACTCGACCTCCACAACTTCCTATCAAGGGCCATGTCCTCGGAAATCTGAAGCCTCGCCATCTCATGCCTGATCACCTCTCCCCTAAACTTCTTAGGTCGTCCTCTACCTCTTCTCGTGCCCTCCAAAGCCAGCTGCTCACGCCTCCTTACCGGAGCATCTACGTTTCTCCTTTGTACGTGTTCGAACCATCTGAGCCTCGCTTCCCGCATCTTGTCATCAATGGGAGCCACGCCCACCTTCACCCGAATATCTTCATTTCTAATCTTATCCTTCCTAGTATGCCCACACATCCACCTTAACGTCCTCATTTCTACTACTTTCATCATCTGGATATGTGATTTCTTAGCAGGCCAACACTCAGCCCCATACATCATGGCCGGTCTAACCACCGCTTTTTAAAACATACCTTTGAGTATCGGTGGCACTCTCTTGTCACACAGGACTCCAGATGCCAACCTCCACTTCATTCACCCCACCCCAATACGGTGTGTGACATCCTCGTCGATATCCCCTCCTTTCTGGATAACCGACCCAAGGTACTTGAAATTGCCACTACTTGGGATGACCTGTGATTCAAGTGTTTCAAAAACCTAGTTTCGTAAACTCCAGCCCAGCAGTCTTGGTGTTTGTCAAACCCATCTGCTTTATTCTCTTAGTATTGATTCAAGAGTTCTGCTCTTAATCTTCAATTCTTGATTCTGTGAGTTGATTTTTTGGTAAATAGAGAATGCTTTTAATCAATTGAATTTGATTATTAGTATAGTTGTAAAGCAAACATTATATAGAACTTGATAGTTTATATGAGTCCACCAAAATATAGAAAGACCAGTTCTTCTATGAGTTTCTACTGAGAATGCTAATGAAACAGTAAGTAAGTAAGACAGGGAGTTTTACGTGGAAAAATCCCTGCTCAAGGGGATAAAAAACCACGACCGACACTGGTAGGATTTCAACTTCACTATGAGCAACTTAGATTACAACCTATGCAATCCACGAATTAAACTCTTAATCCCTCACTAACTTGTAATACACCTAATACAAGACACTTTGCAATACACCTATTACAAAGACTTCAACTCATGACTAACTCTAGTCACGACACAAACACTAAGGGTTTATGGTTTTACAAGGGGGTTCCTAAACAACGCTTCTAGCTAAGCAAATTAGGAATTACAATGAAGAACAATTATAAAGTTTCAACTCAACTAATGACAATAAGATACTAGATTTAGGAATTGGTCCGTAGTAGTGTTAAACTTTGTTCTTGATGCACTTGAGAATTGAATCCTCGGATATCAGACGGCTTGAATGCTTGGAGTAAAATCTCAAGTGTTCAAATGATGTTTTGTTGTAATACTCTTGTTAATACAACTTGGATGACATCACTTGAATGATGTAATCACTTGGTTGGTCAAAGGACAAGTGACTGCAAAACTGGGTTGCACTGTTTCTGTGTACAGTGCAGACAGTCACTTTCCAACTGTACACAGTTGACTTCATACTGCTGTCAGGGAAACACAAGGGATCAGGTCCCTGTGTTGGTTCTCTATCTTCTGAAGTTGTAGCAGTTCACATTAGCTGAAGTCCGTTGATTAGCAATGTGTACCAAGTGTGTCAGGTTCCCTATCTGGCTCTTTGACAGTAAGTTTGTTAGATCATCAATACATAAAGCTAAGACATTGGAAACCCATCAATTTCCCCCTTTTTGATGATGACAAACTTAGACATTGATAACATATGTTTAGAACAGAATTAACCAGATGAAGCAACAGGAACTTCACAAGTTCTCCCTGACTTTATGCTTCCCCCTTAATCAGATCCCTGTTTCAATTATACTTCCCCTTTTGGCATCATTAAAAACACACAAGCAGGCAATCAGCATAAAGTAGTCTAGCCTAGCTAACTCATGCCACATATGTGCACACAACATGATAGAAAAGAGAAACAGAGAAACATAAGCATTAGATATCAAAAGAGGATAGTTTTTATATAGAAAACAAATGCCTTTGCTATACAGCAAAGGCAAAGATTGGACTGTTTTTAGCGGGAGCAGTACAGGTGCATCCCATCCACATCACAAAAAATAAACACAAATAATTGCCAAGTCATCAAAACAAGAGCATAAAATCCAGAAACTGGTCACTGAAAGGGGCTGCCTAGGGGACACTAGGAGGAGAGGGCTTGGAAGCTGCAGCAAGGGTTTGGAGAACTTGATATATTCGGGCATTCGCCGATGTTTGCTCGGTGAGCAGTTTCTCCTTCAGGTTCTCCACTTGTGCCCTAAGATCAGCATTTTCTTTGGTCAAACGAGCTATCTCCTCATTTGACCCTGGGGCCCCTTGGGCTTGCTGACCTTCCAGGATAGCGTTCCTCGCCCTTAACCTTCGAATCTCCTCAGTTGCGCTGTTTTGAGCATTGATGAGCTGAGAGATTGTCAATGTACTGCCTACCCCTCCATTCTTTTTGATACACTCACATTCCTCCAAGGTTGTTTGAGAGAAGGTCTGCTTCTTGGTCCCTACTTTGCACTGGGGTACTTTGAAGAACTTAAACACGTGCGTAAGAAGAAACCCATATTGAAGACCATGATTTCCATCCTTAAAACTCGCCACCTTCTGCATATGCTCGATCATGATGGCAGACAGGTTCACAACTTTAAATCCATCCAGTGCCTCCATTAGATACAAGTAAGATTTGGAAGCAATGGACCTCCTCTCAGCACGGGGTAGAAGAACCTTGTTTACCAGCTCAAACAATAACTGATAGACGGGCAGCAAGGCTTTCTTGTGAACCCGTTCCCCCTTCTGGTTTGCACCTTCCTTCACAATAGCATTTCTGAAGTTTGACCTACACACATCCTTCACAGAAGACATACCAACAGTAGGGACTTTAAGAATCTCCCCAAGCAGAGCAACATCAAACACAATATCCACCCCATTAACTAAAGCACAAAAATGGCCAGTATCAATAGGAAAGAGGTCGGCATAGAAGCTTTGGACCTCATCCTCATATACTTTGGGCGCATCCATTTCAAATAAATGCCCCCACCGTTGAACCTCAACCATCTCAATTATTTGCCTCATGCCAACCATTTCAGAAATTTCTGGGTCAAAAGTACGACCCCACAAGACCTTTTGGTGCCTCAATCGTACTGTAGCAGACCTAGTCTCACTTTTCACTCTCTTTGCAGAATCAGATTCCTTCACAGGTTCCAACTTTATTTTGCTAGACTTCACACTTGATTTTTCTTTTCCACTAGACTTGTACAAACCATCCTCATAAGAAAATTATTGTTCACTCACAACATCTTTCAATTTTCCACCTTTCACAACAACTTTCAACTTTGAACCGGGGGTTGTAACATCTTCCACTGAAGCAGATTGCTTCTTCTTCTGGGACCTTTTAACCAAGGAACTAGGTTCCTCTGTTGCTTCCTCATCAACTTCCACCACAAGAACATCCTTGTCACATACTACTTCTCCATTTTTCACCAACCTCTTCTTTTTCTTCTTACTGCTCCTTTTGGTCTTTTTTAAGGCAGACTCATAAGCCTCTTTTGCTTTCAACCTAGTTGTAGGTCGCTTAGAAGAAGACTCAGGAGTGATTACTGCCCTTTGCTTGACAATAAAAGCATCCAGAGCAATGTTATCTTGATCTTCCTCATCACTAGACTTCATCTCAGGAACCAAAATCTCCAAGGGCTCAACAGCGAAGTGTGGAGAGGGAGCAGGAGCAAAACTGACCTAGGAAGAGGATCCTTGACATGTTTCCTCTAGAGAGGGGTCAGTTCCTTCACGAGAAGTCCCAGTAGTTTCTGCTGGTGCAGAGCTTTCAAAAAGCACCATAGCTCCTTCTTCCACTAACCCATATGTCTCATTCCTCTGAGACTTGGGCACACTAAAGATTACCTCGTACACTATTCCATCTGCAGATGCGAAAAGTATATTTGCGACGGTTTCCTCCTCTAGAGACTCCATGGTCACCACAGAATCAGAAGCAAGAACAGCTGAAGGTTGATCAACACTAACCCCTAAGGCCTCTACAATCTTTGGAACTTTACCCTGTTCTCCACCCTTGCTTTGGTCGGCTAGAATCTCAGTCGATAGAGATGAAAGAGTATCGAT